TTTATTTCTCTTATTTTTAACTCCTTTTTTTCCATATGGGGATTTAACCCAGGACCTCATGCATGATAGGCAAGTGCTCTACCACTGAGCTAAACCCTCAGCCCCAGTAGGCCTATTTGTTTAATTGAAAATGAAGACACCATGTGGATACGTGACCCTCCATCCTTAGGTATGTATCAGAATCACCTATGAGTCACCTATGAGGCTTACTCAGAGTACTGGGTCTACCTCAATGAAAGCCAAGTCCTGAGAATTTAGAGTTTTAAAAAGCTCCTAGATGCTGCCGCTGCTGCCACAGTGCAGTGGCCATGTCCAAGAACTGCTGGACAAGATACTCTTCAGAGTGCCTGCGGGCTTGACTTTTTCCGTGTTTCTATGTCTCGGAAAGCCAGAGGAAAATACAGTATTACTTACTGATTGTTATGAAAAGTCTGAGAACAAGTAGTTGTCTCATATGTCCTTCCATATGTTAAATCTGCATCAGTGCTTTATGCCTCACATTACTGCTTTTCAATCTCTTTGGCTTTTTTTGGGGGGGTGGGGGTGTTCTGGGGATTGAACTCAGGGGTACTCGACCACTGAGCAATCCCCAGACTTATTTTGTATTTTATGTAGAGACAGGGTCTCACTGAGTTGCTTAGCACCTTGCTTTTGCTGAGGCTGGCTTTGAATCTGAGATCCTCCTGCCTCGGCCTCCCAAACCACTGGAATTACAAGCGGGCTCCACTGTGCCCAGCACTATGGCTTTTTCAATGCTTAATACTTTGTAGCACAATGCAAGAAGGATTTTTTTTTTTTTTTCAGTGCTGGGGATCAAAAACAGGGCCATGCACATGCTAGGTAATTATTCTACCGCTGAGCCATATTCCTCACTCAAGAAGGATGTTTAATAAAACATAATTTTAGATAATTGTGATAAACTTCTCACAGGCTTCAGGTCTGGAAGAGTTGGCCTAAAATTAGAATACTTCAGTAAGCTACAGTTAAGTGATTATGTCTTTAGAAAAAGATTATAGGAGGGGCTAGGGATTTAGTTCAGTGGCAAAGTGCCTGGCACATGAAAGGCCCTGGTGGGGGAAATGAAATAAAAAGACTGCAGGTCAGGTTGGGGATATAGCTCTGTGATAGAGTACTTGTCTAGCATATGCAAGGCCCTGGGTTCAATTCCTGGTACTACAAGGGGAAAAAAAAAAAAAAAAAAAAAAAAAAGACTGCAGGTCTAAAGCTTATATCCTTAATTTAAAAAACAGAAAGAAACAAGTGAGTGTTTCCTTTCTCACAACTAAAACATTCAGGGTCAATCCAGGTGAACTGGCTGCATGAAATAATCACATAAGAGACAGAAATACCTTTTTCTTTGGGTCCTGTGACGGCTCCTCTGACCTTAGGGGTCCAGGAAAGAGCATACATGCTGAACCCTTTTATTGGGGAGAAGCCATTCAAATGAAGCAAGGGGTCAGGTTTCAGGGGGTTGAGTCTTGCTTCATGATGTCTGTGTCAGCAGTTGACTGACATCTAGAAAGGCCACCCACAGGTAGAGCAAGAGATGGGGACACACAAAGGGAGTTTCCATGGAAAATTCTATCCCAAGCAGGGCAAAGGGATAGGATTACAAAAGAATAGGTGAATGTAGCTCCACCCCAGGGGTATGCCTATTCAGAAGATTGGCCCTGCTATCCGAGAGGGGGGGAAAAGACCAAGTCAGGAGTCATGGCACTATCGTATCAGACTACAGTGATTTGAATCCCCATGGTGCATCAGGACTGGAAGGCATGGTAATTCAATGTGGGCCCCCATGAGTGAGCCCCAATAACAGGAAGAAAAAAAGATTTCTATGGGATGACAACATACTCTCTCACATATATAAAGCTATTCATATATGGATATGCAGGTTTGCACAGCTGGGTGCCATTAAGGGTCTTTTGGGACATGAATGAGAAATTTTAAATACGCTGTATTTTCAGATGTCCTATCCTCCATCTGAACAGCGTAGAACCAGATACTTTAGAGTTTTATGGGTGAAAAGAATGGGTTGTCCTCTTTCAAGTCATTAATATGACAATCTACAGAAAAGCATCTCATCTTGGATATGAACTGGAATGCTTAGCTGCATTTCTATCTAGGCTACATTCAATTCAGTAAACTGACTATCCAGAGGAGAATCTTACTTTTTTTTTTTTTAAACAAACTTGGACACATCTGCTCTTCCGCTTGGACAACAGGAAAGCTAAGCCTCCCTTGCAATGGGACCCCAGTGACTTTCCCAGTCAGCACTTGGAAGGCAGTTATTTTATCATTCTGAAAAGGCTAACTGGGGCAGGAACTGACACCTCTCATTTCAGGGGGGCCCACAAATACTGTGAGAGCCAGAAATGGGACCATAAATGGGGCTTGATACCAATGTTATTATGGAGCTCTGCCTACAACAGATTACCACTCACACCCAAGGCCTAGGGAAAACTATAGGAGTTCTTTTTCCATAAAAGGGGGAAAAAAAAAAAAAAAAAAGAAGGTACATGGGAGTGAACTTCATGGTCATCATAAACTCTACTGATTCCTTTGGAACTCAAGTGGGCAGGGCCTGAGGGATGTTGGTCTAGCTGACACCATCTCTCCTGGCCTGGGTCATGAATTTGCAAGAAGAGATCAAGGATCCTTATAGCCACTCTCTCTTCCTCCTTACAGCAGGTGCATAAAGAGAAGATTAACAGCCCTGCTTCACCGTGGGCTGGGGCACAAGATCCCAGGAGCCTCTGGTCATTCCCCGCTTCTTCCTGTTTACAGGAAATGGCTCACAACCCACCATTTCCCCATTCCAGGAAAATAACAAGGTTGCTGCCAAAAACCCCCAAAGCTTCTTCTTTCTTTTTAAAATTTTTTTAGTTATAGGTAGACATAATACTTCCATTTTATTTTATTTTATTTTTTATTTAAATATTTTTTACTTGTAGTTGCACACAACACCTTCATTTCACTTATTTATTTTTATGCGGTGCTGAGGATCGAACCCAGGGTCTCACATGTGCAAGGCAAGTGCTCTACCGCTGAGCCACAAACCCAGCCCCTTTATTTTATTTTGTATATGGTGCTGAATATCGAACTCAATGCCTCACATTCACAAGGCAAGTGCTCTACCACTAAGCCACAATCACAGCTCCCCAAAGTTTCTTCTTTCTCCTGCATAGCTTAGAAACCATATTTATTGAAACTCTAAAATTCAGGAAGATGACTGAGCCTCCAGAATTCTGTGTATGGACATACCTTGCCTACATGCATGCCACCAGGGACACAAGGAATCAAATGACCAAATATGATTCTCCTTGAAACAATACATTGCTAAAACCTTCTAAATTCAATTTGAGAACCATCATCTGCCCTCCCAAGAATCAGTGACCAATGAATAGCTCCAATGTCACACATCCTTAGAAGAAGTGCTCTAGAAAAGACAAACCCTCTAGAATTTTTGGCCCAAACTTACATGTTCCAAATTGACAACCTGATGGATTCAAGTTCTTGCTTATTTCACCAAACATTTATTCTTTCCAACTCACTGGACCCCAAGTGACAGACACTCTCTTATGATGTTCTTCAGAACAAAGTAGAAGTAAGTAGTAGAGTCTTGGGTCCTCTGCCAAGACAGTGCCAGGATAAGTGGTCATCAACCTCAGGGCATAACAATTCCTTGACTCAGAGATTTTTAACCCACTACATCAGGGACACTTGGCTCCTATTGCATTACCTAAAACAATTACTCTGTCAACTTTATGCTACTTTAGTTATTACTTAAGTCTTCTGTTATTTACCTTATAATGTGTCTTATTTCCAATCTCAATTGGACTATGAAATCTAAAGGAAGGGAAGTTCCAACGCAGTGTGGAATGACATCAGGACACTGTCTGGCACACAGGAAGTATTAAACAAATAATTGCTAGATGTTTATTGGTTTGTTTTCCTACTAATTCTTTTTTTAAGAGAGAGAGAGAGAGAGAGAGAGAGATTTTTAATATTTATTTTTTAGTTTTTGGCGGACACAACATCTTTGTTTGTATGTGGTGCTGAGGATCGAACCCAGGCCGCACGCATGCCAGGAAAGCGCTCTACTGCTTGAGCCACATCCCCAGCCCCTGTTTTCCTACTAAATTAAACTCTAATTTATATAAGATTAAGAGAAGGGGCTGGGTTGTGGCTCAGTGGTAGAGTACCCACCTAGCATGTGCAAGGCCCTGGGTTCAATCCTCAGCATCACATAAAAATAAATAAAATAAAGGTATTGTGTCCAACCAACTACAACTTAAAAAAATATATATAAATTAAAAAAAAAAAGATTAAGAGAAGAATTTGTCTGTAGTTGACAGAAAGAGAAGCCCAACAGGAACTGCAGAACAGCTCAGCAGGCCATGCCCAGACAGGGGCAGGAGGTCACTGAGCCCAGAGCTCCCTGAGGGAGTGGAGATGTGAGCAGACCATCCCTTAGATCCTGCCAGGAAAGCCTGTGCTGTTAGAAAGCCTTCCTGCCATCAGGCAATATAAGATTGTAGTTTGGCAGGAAGGGCGTGTGCTCACTACCAAGGGCTGACAAAACATGGGAAACAGTAGCCTTGCTAGATAGCATCCCTCACTTCCTGTGGTGCTACATGACACAGCATGGAAGAACAATCACACAAATCACAACCAATTCCCCAGTCCTAGTGCCTAAAGAATGCTGACTTCCCAGAGGTAGACTTCTCATTGCCTGAAGTATAATCATCTTCAGCTCCTTAACTTTAGTTTTGCTTAGGGATTTACTAATGGGAAGAAGGCTGAGTCATTTTCCTCTTAGAGCTGTAAGGCCCTCCAATATGCCCTACTCCAGAGGTCTAGGACTCCTATGTCCTAGAGTACCACTATCTGCAAACACAGGGCCAAGAAAAAATACCCAGGCCCAGGGAAAAGTAGAAAGCCTAAGAGAACTGCCCAAAGAGAGATACAAGCTACACCTGCCAAAGTCTGACAGTGCATACCTAGAGCCTTCACAGATATCTGTCGGGTGAGTGGAGGGGGGATATTGATGCACACCAGGTCCACGTCTTGATGCAGCAAAACATCATCAGTCCGGCTGGTGTAGAAGGTGATGTTCATCTCCTCAGCAAGCTGCTTTGCCTCTTCCTCGGTCTTCCCCCACAGGGCCTCCACTGTGAACCCTTCTGCCCTCAGCAGTGGGACCAGGACCCGGGCTGAGCTGCCAGTCCCAAACACTCCCACTCCTGGCAGCATCTTCATCCCAACCTCTGCTCACCAGTTCATCTCCTCACCAGAGTCTCCAGCATGGAGCTGACCTTCCCACAGTCCTGGTCAAACATGGCTCCTAGAATGGCAAGGAATACACTGGTTAGAAATGAAGGAAACTCAGGAGACTATTTTCTTGGCTTATTTGGAAGCAATAAATTCTTTGCCTGAAAAGCACACGAGCTGGGTGTGGTGGTGCATGCCTGTAATCTCAGCAACTTGAGAGGCTTAGGCAAGAAGAACATGAGTTCAAAGCCAACCTCAGCAATCTAACAAGACCCTGTCTCTAAATGAAATATATAAAGGGCTGGGGACGTTAAGTGCCCCTGGGTTCAATCCCCAGTACTAAACAAACAAACAAAAACAAACTAAAAACAAATGAAGTACTGCCTTCAATGAAAAGCTACAGAATCTCCCTCCACGGAGACTGCAGGAAACCAGTAATATCCATATACTGCTGGGCACCATGGCACACACTGTAATCCCAGAGACTCAGGAGGCTGAGGCTGGAGGACTGCAAATTCAAGGTCAGCTTTGGCAACTTCATGAGACCCTGCCTCAAAACAAAAAAATGAAAAGGGCTTGGGATGTAGCTCATTGGTAAAGCTAATGAGTTCAATCCCAGTACTCACCCCCTCCCACCCAAAAACTGTCTACTGCAGCTCAGAAAAGATAAAAAAATGAAAAGTGGGTAAAAGCAGGGTTCAAAATCCCTGTTTTGAAACTTGCCACATCCCCAGCCCTTTTTATTTTGAAATAATATCTCGAGAAATTGCTTAGGGCCTTGCTAAATTGCTGAGGCTGTCCTTAACTTGCGATCTTCCTATCTCAGCCTCCTGAGTCACCAGGATTACAGGAGTATGCCACCTCTTCTGACTACATTTGAATTTAATAATAAGTATTCTCAGGTTGACAGGATGTGGATGGTTTTCACCATCTTATTTTTTTTTAAACTGGACCAAATTTTCTACATGACTATATCTTACTTATTGTGCAGTTTTTCTTCTTTCTCTTCTTTTTTTGGAGGGATGTTGTTGTAATACTAGGGACTGAACTCAGGGGTGCTTTGCCACATTCCCCAGACTGGATTTGAATTTATAATCCTCCTGCCTCTGCTCCTCCCAATTCGCCGGGATTACAGGTATGCGCCACAATGCCCAGTAGAATTCCTTCTGAAGGATGAATTATATTCCATTGTATGTATATCCAATATTTTGTTTATCCATTCTTCTGTCAGGTTGCTTTCACATTGTGGATTCTGTGAATAATGCTGCTATGAACATATGTGTATGTCTATGCATCTCTTTGTGCCCTGCTTTCAATTGTTTTGGGTATATTCCCAGAAGTGGAATTGCTTAATCATATGGCAATTCTGGTTTTTAATTTGTTGAAGAAGTGCCATACTGTTTTCCCTAATAGCTACACCATTTTACATTTCCACCGACAGTGCATAAGGGTTATAATTTCCCCACTTTCTCTCAACATTTGTTATTTTCTGGTATCTTTTGATAATACTCATACTGATAGGTATGAGGTAACCATCATTTTCTTTATAAATTTTTTATTTATGCTTGGCACAGCTGTAATCCTAGAGGCTAAAAAAAGGAGTATCACAAGTTCTAAGCCAGTCTCAGCAACTTAGCAAGACCTGTCTCAAAAAATAAAAAGGAACAGGGAGGTGGGACTCAGTATTACAAAGTACCCCTGGGATCAACCCCAGTCTCATCTTTAAAGAGATAAGACCTCACCACTTTTTCCAGGCCGACCTTGAACTCCTGGGTTCAAGTGACCCTCCTGCTTCAGCCATCTGAGAGGTTGGGACTATTGGCACATGCCAATGGGTCCGGCTACCATCAATTTCTTTTAAAGATCCTCAGGTGATCCTCATGCGCAGCCAGACCTGAGAACCTCTGAGATATATTTATTTATTTAGGGTGTGGGGTGGGGCACTCGACCACTGAGTCACATCCCCAGCCCTATTTTGAATTTTATTTAGAGACAGGGTCTCACCGGGTTGCTTAGCACCTTGCTTTTTTTTTTTCCTCCAATATATATTTTTTTGAGAATTTTAATATTTATTTTTTAGTATTTGGCGGACACAACATCTTTGTTTGTATGTGGTGCTGAGGATCGAACCTGGGCCACGCGCATGCCAGGCGAGCGCGCTACCACTTGAGCCACATACCCAGCCCCCAATATATTTTTTTAACATTTATTTTCTAGCTATAGTTGGATACAATAGCTTTATTTATTTATTTTTATGTGGGACTGAGGATCAAACCCAATGCCTCATACATGAGAGGCAAGTGCTCTGCCACTGAGCCACAACCCCAGCCCCAACTTAGTGCCTTGCTTTTGCTGAGGCTGGCTTTGAACATGCGATCCTCCTCCCTCAGCCCCCCCCAAGTTGCTAGGATTACAGGCGTGTGCCAACAGTGCCTGGGTGAGCTATATTTAACCCAAAAGAAAACATATCTGCATTTAGAACTATTACAAAATGTCCTGAGTTCTATGTTTTCTAAGTTTTCTGAACCTTTTTATCCCTCCCTTTATTATGATTAAAAAGACTAATTTTCCATTAAGAGGGAAAGTCTCTGATTAACAGTATAACTATTTTAACTTTTACATTTCCTTCCTACATATTTTTAACATTTAAAAATAATTTTATAAATACCTGATAATCCCATATTACTGATTATCTTTTAAAAATCTTACTACTTCTGATCTTGCTAACTGTAGTCTCACAATATTTAAAGTTATACCCACATGTTGGAAATTATTGATGTACTTGTATGTACATAACATTGTTTGACTTGAATCTCTCACAGGTCACACTCTTAACTATTTGTCAGTTTAACAGAGATATGGCATCCCTGCTATAAATGCATCACAGTCAATTGTTCCATTCCCATTCATGAGCACTAGGGATACACACATTTCCTCCTTCCCTTCTCCCGACATCCTTATCTCCCTGGCCATTACTCAGTGACACTTTCAGTTCCCTCGGCTCTTGCCCAACCTCCTTAAATGCTTCCTGAGGTTCTGCTGCACTCATCCTCTCCTGGATACAGTCTTTTTTTGTGGGGGAGGTACCAGGGATTGAACTCAGGGGCACTCAACCACTGAGCCACACATCCCCAGCCTTATTTTGTATTTTACTTAGAGACAGGGTCTCACTGAGTTGCTTAGCACCTCACTTTTGCTGAGGCTGGCTTTGAACTCGTGATCCTTCTGTCTCAATTTCCAAAGCCACTGAGATTACAGGCAAGCACTACCACGTCTGGCCTCCAGATGCAGTCTTTAGACCCCTTCTCCTGTCTTTCTCCCTTTCCAAGGCTTTCCTCTGTATACCAGTGACTTTCAGGTTGGCAGCACAAGCCTAGCTTCATCTCCAGAGCTTCACACCTACATGAACTGCTATTGGGCATCTCTGCTTTTATTGTTCTACCAGCTCCATAAAGCCTATGTGATCAAATATGAACAAAAGCAGTAAAGAGAGGGTATACAAGCCTGTATGTATGCTTTTGCATCTCTTTTGTATCTACCCTAGACACAATTACATGCCTGCATTAAGGGTTAGTTTGATAGTATAGTCCAGTGCAGCATCATTTACTGCTTGATTCTACCTGTGGCACATTTGTGCCTTTGTGAACCATTGAAATAAGCATGATTTAGGTTGCCTCTAACTCCAGATCCATCTGCCAGTTTTGTGATTGCTTGTGTCCACTCTGGTTGGAGTCTGATTTGTCTTAACTATCCTCTTTCTTTCTGATGGTAAATAATGTCTATAGTTTCTCAGCCACTCTTCTTTCCTTTTTTTTTTTTTTGGCAGTACTGGTGAATGAACCCAGAAGCACTCTACCACTGAGCTACATCCCCAGCCCTTTTTATTTGTGAGACAGGGTCTCACTAAGTAGCCCAGTCTGGCCTTGAACTTGTGATCCTCCTTCCTCAGCCTCCTGAGTGCCTAGGATTTCAGTGTGGGTCACCATACTTGTCTTGTCCATATGCTCTCTGAATTCATGCCCAGGACACACTTCCTCCTTTCTCAGAGGACATTCCTTCTCACTCTATTACATTTGGGTGTATACATATTTAAGCATCAGTGGTGGAAAATGACAGATGGATCAGAATTTTTTTTGGGGGGTGGGGTACCAGAGATTGAACTCAGAGGCACTCAACCACTAAGCCACATCCCCAGCCCAATTTTTGTATTTTAGAATCAGGGTCTCACTGAGTTACTTAGCACTTCACTGTTGCTAAGGCTGGCTTTGAACTTGAGATCCTCCTGTCTCAGCCTCCCGAGATGCTAGGATTACAGGCATGCCCCACCACACCCCAGCTTCAAAATTAATAACCTCTGTTTTACTTCCACTGACTCAAGGGGCAGCTTCATCAACAACCTTGAGGAATATCATCTGCCCCTGAGGATGCCAGATGGCATGAAGCTAGGCAGGCTTGAGGACTAGGTATTTCCAGCTTAAGCAGGCAGAGCTGGTTTTCCTTGTTTATTTCAGAGGCTACCCATTCTCACTCCTAAATTTTCCTACCCTTTGCCCCTGATATCCTTAACACATACCTTTCATATGCCTCTGAAGATCTCCATAAACACAGCCCTGCTAAGCTCCCATGAATTCCAACCACCACATGCTGGTCAGGAATGAAGGGTGTAAAGTGTCAAGTAATGGCAAAAGCAGAACAGAGGTGAGAAGCATGGAAAAGGTAACCACCTTGCCTGGTTCAAATCCTGGTTTTGTTACTTACCAGCTGGGTGACTTCAGGAAAAATCTCTTAATCATACCATGACTCCATTTCCTCATCTATAAAATGAAGATAATTTTATCTACCTCATGGGGATTTAAGGATTAAATGAGGTAATATTTGTAAAGCACGCACAACAGGGCCTGGCTCATAATAAATCACTTCATAGGTCATATTTTTTTTTTGGGGGGGGGGTACTGCGGATTGAACTCAGGGACACTCAAACTACTGAGTTACATCCCCA